AGATTTTCAGATTTTTCGGTAGTCAACTTCATGGGTATATGCCGGCCGAATCCCTTGGATTTATGGGGAGATTTTTGGTGGTAATTGAAGATGACATTGTGGGCTTTCCAACAGTATCCAAATCCGGCGGTTTTGGTGGTCGGAAGTTGCCGAAAAATCGTCGCAAAACTTGCCCAAAAATTTGAAAATTCAGTGACCGTTTGTGAAAGAAATTTAAACTTCAGTGACCATTTCTGCAAGTTTTAAATTTCAGTGACCGTTTTGTGATTTTCAGATAACTTCAGTGACCGTTTGTGAAATTAACCCTATATTTTTGTGATTTAGGACTTAATCAACAGTGTTTGAGTGTTATTAAAAATATTGCTAAGTTTTAATTATTTTCTTTAGGAGTCTTGGAATTAATGCATTATCAGGGGAGCTTCCTAGGGAACTTGGGATGTTGATAGACTTAAGATTGCTGTAAGAACGTATATATTTTATTCATGAGGTTTAAACCCCAATTAGCTAGCATTCGTGCATGTACATATAAATTTACGTACTTGTTTATTTGTGATTTCTACTTGCGTAGGGCTTTCGGCACAAACAATTTCTCTGGTCCTCTACCATCTGAGCTTGGGAATTTAACAAGACTAACTCAAATGTAAGTTTTGATGTCATTTCACACTTATTGTCTCGTTCCTATATGACAACGAGTTGTTCGCGCTTTATCATTTAGGATTCTATGTTGCTCTACTGCTTTGACATCTGTATAGACACACATCATCTCTGAACTTAGACATGGACCAATGTGAAGAGCATTTTTCTTTTAGGTCTTTTCTGTTTTTCTATGTTCCTTGACACACGACATCTTTTTGACAACTGTGACCTGTACCTGATTTGCCTTTCGCATTCTAGTTATCTTCTTATATTTTTTTGGCAATTTCAATCTGCTCCGCAGTACTTGTAACCATCTAAAAATTTTCTCAATCTTATTAGTCGTATCATGAGACGAGACAAAATTATTTTTATGCGAGGAAAAAGAAAAAGGTTCCTTCCCAATTTTTCATTAAAAACCTGTTATTTTCTTGGCAGTTACTTTGATAGCGCTGGAGTTAGTGGGCCAATACCTCCAACATTTTCTAGTCTAACGGGATTGGAGATAGTGTAAGAACATATTCTCTCTGCTCCTTTGTTCTTCTTTAGTGATAGATAAATTTATTGTATCGTCTTCTCTGATCAAGTACGCTAAAATAATTTTTTGGGAATTTCAGGTGGGCCTCAGACAATGAACTCACTGGTCAAATTCCTGACTTTATTGGGAGTTGGTCAAATCTACTTGTCCTGTGAGACAATAATCATATATATATATATATATTTTAATATGATTTATCTTGCTAGAACTGTCACGTTCCTATCTTTATACCAATACAAAATTCACGTATAGTTTATGATCAGCTATAATGTGATATGTTTGCAGGAGGTTTCAAGGAAACTCCTTTCAAGGGCCAATACCACCATCATTCTCCAATTTGACCTCTTTGAATGATCTGTGAGTGTTGGCCTATTTCTTTCTTCGTTTATTTCAAAAATCTTTCTTCTCTTAGCTGTCCAAAGCTAATATTATTTTTGACATATAATGAGCAGGAGAATAAGTGATCTATCTAATGGAAGCTCTACACTGGACTTCCTTAGAAATATAACGTCTCTTGGCACCTTGTAAGGATTATAACACAGCTTATAATTCTACACTAATTTGATTTGTCCTTTCTTTCAATAAATTATCTGTTGTTTTGGCAAGTTTTTTATGAACTCGTTCCTTTTTTGGCAGAGTTTTGCGTAATAATAACATTTCTGGTTCCATACCTTCCAATATTGGTGACTATCAGAGTTTAATACTGCTGTAAGTTTTCTTGTGTTGTATGACTTTGAATAATGTAATAAGCTTCCACTGAGGTTGATGGTAAATTGACAATTGTGCAATCCAGCCTAATACATGTTTAGTCTGAAGTCGAGAACATGAACCACGTAACATTGGTGTAATGAACTTGCTATTATTTGCTAGCTGATTGAATCACTATCCTTTAAAGGTGTGATCAAAAGCTTTTAATTTGCTTACTCACTCTGCAATCTTTTATAACTTCCTTTTTCAGGGATTTGAGCTTCAACAATTTGACTGGACGCATCCCAGATTCACTTTTCAATCTGAGTTCACTCACTACCTTGTAATAAATCGTGCAATACTTGTGATTGAGACCTCACTGCAACAATCTCCACCCTGAAGAAAGAGAAGAAAGCAGCATTGGGAGGGATAGATAGTGCGCTAATTTGGTTTTCTTTTTCATCTTCAGGTTTCTTGGTAATAATACTTTGAATGGTACCCTGCCTGCAGTAAAGGGTCCAACTCTCCGGAACATGTTAGTATTGGTCTTCATATGTTCATATCTTACGTGTTTCTGATAAAAACTCCTACAAGTCGCATTTTTTTTTTTTGTGGTTTCATATACATAATTAGATCTCCAAGGTCGGGACACAATCCTATGCCTTTCAATCTCATTATTAATTGGAGGCATATTTTTTCTGAACTTATCGCGATTTTATGTATGAGTACTCTTAATTTACACATTAAAATTTCTTAATTACAAGTATTAAGTTGGGACTACCCTCTTCACATGAACGTCGGTGTAATCCCACGCGAAAGAGTTATAATAGTATACTATATCTTTGATTGCATTCGAAGATATTTGATTGGAGTTTGCTTTACATTTGTAAACCTAACTAGTATTTGTACAGGCAGCATGTGATGCCACAAACAAAAAAGAAAAAATAATTGAAAACAACATATATTTTCATATTAAGCCCCTGTTTGGTGGGGATTAAAATCAGATTTTAGTAGATTTTGACAAAAGTTAATGAAATGTGTGGTTAAAAATTTGTGGATCCCTCGAAATATGCGGTTAAAATTAATTGTTGACTTTGACTTATATTAAAATCTAGATTTTAATTTCTACCAAACATGACTAAAGAAAGTCATTTGTAAAATGGAATATCTGCCTAACATCGTTTTTATATTCCTTGCAGAGATTTATCATACAATTCATTATTTGGGAGCTTCCCTACATGGATCAGTGAACAAAATTTACAACTGTATGTATAAATGAAAACAAGGATGCTACATATTCTTTATATTTTCTTTCCATTGTTCTGCCTTATGGTTTCTTTTGACAAATCTCATCATTTAAACTGCATTTTCTAACATTAACATAGAAATCTTACTTGAATGTATTATGCAGTAATTTGGTTGCCAACCGCTTCACCATAGACAATTCTAATGGAAGGTGAATATTTTAAGCACTCACGGTGACAAAACTTATATGGATTCACTTCCTAGGCTTTACCTTTTGTGAGCTTCTTTATGTAGATATATTATTGTTGTGATGTTTATATCAGTTATCCACATGTATTTTCTTCATAACTAAACAATGGCAGGATCGGTCAATAGCTAAAGCTATGCCTGCTGGCTTTCATCTTTCTGTGGACTTTTGGTTATGGCAACTTATCAGTAACCATTTCCCAAAAAGATTACATAATATGATTGTTAGTTGCAAATCGCTTCCAAATGTATGTCCAACCGTGAATAAATGGTTCATATTCTCATCGTCAATATGTCATATGTGATAGCAGGTTGCACCTTCACATACATTCTCTGTACTTGTAAAATTAATAATTATATAACAATTCATTAATGACTTGGAAAATTTTATATTAGTAAATAGGAGAAAGAAATAATTTGCAGACAAAATGAGTTTTCTTGGCCACC